CTCACATGCCCTGCTGCAATTTTGTGGTAAATTATGACCATGTCGAGGGAAGGATGTGAACGCTTGGAATTAATTTCATCGTCAGACGGAGAAAGTGACGACATAAAACAGAGAAGCAACGTAGAGATTGAAAGGTTAGGGCATGCAGAAGACTCTAATTGCTGGAATTTTCCTCATAATTTTAATCCAACATCATGTCATGGGAAAAAATATTTTTCATTTTGGAACTCTTGCAGCTAGCAGTGCACCCACCCTGTTACCAACCCGTTACAGAGATTGCTACCAAAATATGATATTACAGAACTACTTTCTTCAATCCACAATCGGACCACACTTTTTATATGCCCTGCAAAGAGTGTTCGTCATGCTAATCAAACCAAAATGTTAATATCTCAAGAGCTGGCATCTTCCAAGGTGAACAACCAAATGTCACATCGCGTACATTGTAACTGCTATTAGAGAGCACAATGTACGACGCCATACATCCATTTTCACGTCAACTGAGTTGCGTCAAAATTTAATGTGTAATTTCTTAAACGCGGTCACTCGAGACCAGGCTGCGCCCATCAGCTCTCGCTACACTTGAAGGGCTTCGCTTAATCACGGGTGGCCCAAATCCCAGATTCATCAAACCTCCTCCTCATGTTAGCGGTGGCGGCTACGCATCTCTGACACTGCTCTACAGCACCCCCCCACCTACCCATCGGAGCCAACCGGAGAAACTTCCCCGCACAATGCTCTCTTTACATCGGACTTCATCGTCACAGTCGCACAGCGTTCTGTCGCTTTCAGACACCTACACATGTATGTACAGTAAAACCTTGGATTGCGAGTAACTTGGTCTGCGAGTGTTTTGCAAGACGAGCAAAAATTTTTAATAAGTATTAATTTGATAAACGAGCGACGGTCTTGCAATACGAGGAGCACGTATACGCTTTGTCTGCCGAGCGTCACGTGATCAACAACTGATATACGAGTGCTTTGATATACGAGTGATTTGGATTACAAACACGTTTCCGGAACGAATTATGCTCGCAATCCAAGGTTTTACTGTACGTTGAACTTCTTTCGCGCCGTATGTAGCCAACTGTGCTAATCGAAGGTGCGGGGAAAGGACAACAAACTAAAGACAAAAAGCAGTTCCAAATAATTTTTGTGTCACATTTACGCCACGTGGTCTACCGTTGCGAAACCAACCACTCTGATGTGTACCGCAGAGTGACACTCATCCTTCACACGCTATCTACGACAATCGCGTAATTTCACTCGGGATTCCCACATTCAACTCCTAAACAAAACACACACACACACGTGGTACGCCGTGGAGATGTGTTTAAAAACCTAAGATCAAACTGGATTCATGAGCGTGTGACTGAAGTTATGTATGTGTGTTGAACATCGTTCGCACCGTACGTAGTCAACCGGAGTTGCGGTGGAAGGACAGCAAACCAAACACAAAAAGCAGTTCTACCGAAATGAGTTTTTCAGTGTAGATTTCAAAGTGCGTGGCTCTCAGTGGCGTCCTCATATCAGAAGGAAGGAACGTTCCAGACGCCCGCAGAAGCGCATCCGAAAGGCTCGACCGCTAAGCTCGCCCATCCCATCTTTCTCTTCGCCGTTTCATATTTATGCCGCGGAATCTCCATAAGACCCCCTGCCTCCGGGATCTTCACGAGCCTGGCGCTTGTCAGTAACGGGGGTGTCGCAGACGGCGATCGAGCAGACGGGGCAGTGTGCGAGCGGCCGAATGTTGGTCTCGTTTAGCTTTTTTTTTTTTACGTATTTTAAGCCTTCGTTTAAAACATCTCCCCCAGGGGAACATTTTAAAGGATAACTTTTACTCACTCTCTTAATGTTTATTTTTTTTAAAGCAGCTATGGAAATTATGGTGATGGCAATTTATTTATTTTGTACCTGCACCAGCGATGAGTATGCGATGTAATTTTTCAGATTTTTTTTGTTCAAAGGGCGGTTTGCTCTCTCTCTCTCTCCCTTTCATGATGCTTTCATGCATGTAGCTGATGGAATGGTAATAATGCCTGTAAATGATTAACTTGTCATGGTTTCCGGACAAACCCATAAATATAATCTACCATGTATATAATCTCGGGTATCTTAGAGCTCTCTTCACTTGATACAGCAATTTTTGCTGTGACGGTTTCCACCTGAAGACTGAATCTTGGTGTTGCCTCCGAAACGTCGTGATTTATTTTATTTTACCTACGTGACTTTACCGAAAAAACCAAAGAGTATGAATCCTTGCAGTCACGAAAGCTTCAAAGCTAGAATTCATACTCACAACATTTGATTTTTGATTGCAGCCTTATGGATATATACAAATGATGCAATGTGGGATATACCCTAACATCTGCAAATTAACTTACCACCTAATGATGCTTTAGATCGACTCGAGTAAATCGTGAAAGGTAATGACCATCATGATGATCCAAGTATAAATATAAATTACATTATGCTTTTGATTTAAACAGATTGCTCTCACCAATGCTATTTAAGTGAGAGGGTGTATTGATGCAAGTGGTTCGCGTACTGCACTGTGAACCCAGTGAACTTGGTTTGATTCGCATCCATGGCAAACGTCACACTACCGACTGATATCGGAACTGGTCCTGGGACCTCCCTTCAACCCAGAATGACCAAAAGCGCTTGAGAAAAGTGAATATTTACTTACTTTGGATGGTCCTGAGTCAAGCATGTTTATTGTTGTTAAGAATATTAAATTCTCAAACATGTTGTTTTTATTGCACTACTATAAATGGATAAAACAAATAAATAAAAAGGCCTTTTGTCAATCCACTGCTGGATGAAGACCTCCTCACAACATGTCTCTCAGAGGGCAGTGCAGAAAAACCCATCGTTGTACTGTACTCTGCTTTGCTTTCTATGCCTTCACATCCACAATTCCCACTGTCACCAAGTTCGCCAGTCCTGGGCCCCTTCCTCCGTGCACCAACCCTCACCAAACCAGCGTGGTGAAGTACGCTCAAACAGCCCCCTCCCCTGCGACGCGGACTGACATGTAGGGGCCCTCATCCAGCAGTGGATGTACACGGCTAAGATGGCACATCCGTGGCCCGGGCAGATAGCCCGTAGGAAGTGTCCACTGCACATCTCGTTATTTGTTTCCACGTTCCTCTGTCTTGCGCCGGGTATGGCTCAAGTGTTGGCAACGATCTCTTCTTGTGTCGTAGTCAAGCCATTCTCTGTTAGGTCCTCTTCTTTTTTCGGCCCCTTACGTTTTTCCCCGTACACAAGACACTTTTAATCACCCTGCCGTTGTCCATCATACACACGTGTCCAAGTAGTGCACAGTTTCCTTCTCGTCACTGCCCGCATTGTCATCGTCGCCGTCACCATCAGTTTGTCTTCTTCCGTGTGCAACCTTTTTCTTACTTCCAGCCGCTCTGCGGGATTAAAACCCGTGGGAGTTATCTCCCCGTGGCGGAATCGATGCGCCAGCGCACGCGGCCGGCGCAGTAATCTCGGGGGCTGGTGCGACTGCACCTCGGATCACGGTGTTTGGGATGGGCTATCGATACGCTTTGTGCCTTCCCGACCAATTTTATCCCCCGACTTAGGCTTTTTTTTATTGCAGCTGGTAAGGCCCCATTGAGCTAAACAGCTCTTTTACAAGGGCGGCGACCGCAGCCCGGTTTTTGGCGGCAGTAGGGAGGGAGTTACCGGACATCGCGTTTAGAACGAGTTACACGGAGACCCGTGGAGACCCGTAAAAGTACACGGAGACTGATAGAGTTACGCATAGACTCATCGACTCGGACTTCATTATTTCGGCCGGTAAGGCCACTGTTGAGCCCAGCAGCGCTGCCGCAACGACGGCAGCCCAGGACCCGTCGGCAGGTTTGGAGGTCCACGTGAAGAAAAGGTAACGAAAGCGAAAAAACGACAGATTATTTTCACGGCGTACAAACTCGAGATAGTTATTCGAGTGCGGAGGAACGTGGAAGGGCGCCACCGCTGCCATCTTGGCCAGCGCCCGAGGACGTTGCTTACACGCAAAGCGGGGGACCTGCTGCGCGCCTTTTTCGTCCTCACTTTGTAAATATGATTTGCGGATGCTGATAAAAGGGGATAAAGATAATTAGTTTGTTTTTTTTTACTCCGGTGCCGTTCGTTCGCTGCGTCGGCATTGTCAGATTTACGCGCTTGCTTTCTCTTAGGGCCCGGTTTGTTTTCCCTCCGTTGCGCTTTTATCAGATAAGCAGGAGCCGGGATTGCGTGCAGTGTTCATCGTCCCGAATTGAGACCGGTGTGTCCGCACGTCTGCATCTTTTTTTTTTTGTTTCGGCGGTAACTCACGATGTTCCGTTTCGGCGTGTTTATCGTCCGCTGTTTTGTTTCGCTCTTTCTCCACTCTCGTTGTGGGAAAGTGCAAGTCAAAGGTGTGGTCTGGGTCTACCAGTACGAGAGTTACGTTGTTATTTTTTTTTACGATTTGCTTAACTTTCCAATACTTTGTACTCCAATCATGTTTTTGTACTGTTTGTTGTTGTAACTTTCTGACCTGCCCCAGCTGGACATCTGTGAAGAAGAGTTTTAATGCTCACCGGATTCCTCCAGGATTATTAAAAGAGTCTGATTCTGATTACATTTAATAAAACAGGCACGCGAACTTGTTACGGGAAAGGGTCAATGTTGAAATCGAATCGTGACAGGTCAACGTGACGGCACGGGCTGCGACACGGCCCAGTGGTAGCACGTCCACCGATTGTTGTTGCACAGGTTCGTGGTTCGAATCCAGCGGCCGCGCTGATTAACACTGCGGGCGTATTAACCGTGCAAATTCGCGCCGTCTGCTTTACAGTCGACTTTGAAGATCCCGTGACACCATTCGCACAGCCACATTCCGTGATAAAAGATGATCTTGTCTGGTGCGTGTCCAACTCATGTATTCTGTTTTCTCTCTTTTCGCTTTGTGACTTCTCACAAACTTCCCTGCACGCACGCGTATGGACGCCCCGCAGCTCAAACCATCGCCTCCTCCCAGTGCTCAGGGCAACAGCGCGACTGGAAATCCGCAAAGGCCGGCGCTCACCGGGGACCCCAGTGACGCCAACGGTGCCGCCCCGCCCCGCGCCGCCGAGGGCGCCCGGGAGGCCGCTTGCCGCGAGGACGAGCCGAGCGCCCTCCTCAGCGCCAAGCTGCGCATCGACGGGGGCGACGGCGCTGGCGACGCGCCCCCCGTCGCCGGCCGCCCCTCGGGCCGCTTCACGGTCGCGCAGCACCGCGCGTGCCGGCCGCCCTGGCCGCAGCACGGCCACCGGGGCCACGGGCACGCGCGGGCTCCCCCCGGACCGCCGCCCGTCGACGAACCCCGGGCGCCGTTCGTCTCCGGGGACGAGCGGCCCCGACGCGGGGACCCCCCCGACGCCGCCGCGCCGTCCGTGGCCGTGCGGCCGAGGCCGCTCGCGTGGGACGCGCCCGGGGTCCCGCCCGGGGTGGCGGGGGCCCTCCCCGGTCACCCCGCCGCGCCGGTCGCCGCGATCCCCGGTCGGCAGACGCACCGCCCGGCGGCGCCCGCGGGCGAGCGCGGGCCGCCCCCGCGGCCGCCCGGCACGCGGGAGGATGCCGGGGCTTTCCCGGCCGCCCCCGGGGCGCCGGGCGGCGCGTGGGGCCAGCACGCGGTGCCGTCGGCAGGCGCCGGCCACGGCGACGCGGAGCCGCACCGGGGGGCGGAGGGCAGCGCGCGACCGGGGCCCGTGCCGGGGCCCGTGCCCCGGCACGGGCGGAGCCACCGGGCCCCAGTCGCGGCTGCCGAAGCCGCGGTCGTGAGCGGGGCGACCGTTTGAATTCGTAAACGAGAGGGGGATAGAGCCGGAACAGTGCCCCCCCCCCCCCCCCCCCCCAATCGTCAGATGGCGCCGCGTTCCCTGCCCCCCGCCCCACTTCGTCCCCCCTTTGCTTTGTAATCCGCTCATATTAGCGCAGCACGCATGGCTTAATGTAAAATGCGTTTGGGTTGAGCGGATACAAATGAATGGGAGATTTTACATTAGCGGGCTCTGCGTAATTTAACCCCACTCTAACCCGCACAATTAGCTAGACGCTGCAGGCGGGAGCCTGCTTTTTAATGACGCCTCTTTGGTTTTTCCCAATTAAGTGATCTGAGTGGATGTGGTGATAATTGGCCAAAATATGGAGTCGACCAATTTCACAAGGAGGACTGAAAATAGATGTAACGGAACACTTGAAAATGTTTAGTGCGGTTAATTTCATTCGTATCTTACAAACTGTTTGCTTCGAGATATAATATACATTCTTATTGCTGTAAGTTAATTAAATGAAAATACTTACGAGTTATGGCTGCGCTTTAGAATTAAAAAAATTTGATGTATTTAATTACGTAATAATTTAACACGTGCATGCGGTGCTGTTCATTGTATACTCGCAGCAGCATTACCTCTTGGACACTGGATAAGAATGTATTGCCAACAATTAAGGCCCGGCAAGCATTGGCAGAGAGGTGGGGAGGGCAGAGAAACGAGTTCGGGAAGCGTGTGCAATCAACAGAGGAAATGAATGCAATGTCGCTGGCAAGGTTCCGTGGGTGGGTGTTTTACTGGGCGCCTCCCCTGTTGTCCGTCTGCAGTGTGTGCTCAGAGAGGGAGCTGACGGAGAAAAGATGGAATTGGGCACTCCACGATTTGTCGTGTGTGTCTGTGCGTGTGTGTGTGTGCGTGGGGAGCGGTGGGTGTAGTGGTTAGTACGCTGTGCTACGAATCCGGCGGCCTGAGTTAGATTCCCGCTCACGGCTGACACCAGTGCTGATTATCTGATCCGGTCCTGGGCCTCCCCTAGGTCGACTCAACCCTCAAATGAGTACCTGGTGCGTTGTGAAAACATCACCACTGGGGAGACAAAGGCGGCCGGGCGTGGTGCTGGCAACCCACCCCCTCGTGTGCCGTGCCGCCCTTCATAGCTACTCGCTAACGGCACTTGCTCCTACAGTTTGTTAAGGCTATACGGGGGGTCGTTGTCTTTGTTGCGTGGGTGTGTGTGTAGTTGCAAGCATGTGTGCGACGAATCCGAAAATACTCACGTTTGATTCCGGGCCACGGCTAAGATCAGTGTAGAAGAGACATCTGAACCAGACCTTGGGTCTCTTCTCGGGATGGTCTCGGCTTCAAATGAGTACCTGGTGCGGTGTGTAAGCTTCAGCACTGGGGAGTTTAAGGTGGCTGGGCATGGTGCCTGCAACACCGCCCCCTTGGTATGCTGCACCGGTCTCAGTAAGTGCTCGCTAACAACACTTGCCCCCAGCGATCTATTTTGCCGTACGGGGATGGTCGCACCGTTGTGTGTATGGCCCACACAGCTGATATGCTGAAAGTGCAGCTTGTCTCCGTTTGTTTAGCTCGTATCGCTGAAGTGATGGAGCTGTGCTTTTTGCCAACAGTCGCCACTCAACTCTGCGATAGTGAACCAGCCCGTGCCAAGCAATTCATAGCAATGTGTCACTTGGACGGATGGAATTGTAAAATTATGCACTGACGGTTGGACAGACGGACCGGCAGACGGACAGATGGCTATATTGGACAGACAGACGTTGCCGTGCCACCAATGTTCACGATCGTCCCAAGTTTTTTTTTGGTTGTTGTGATTCCCCATTGCCAACGTACCTGCCAGCCATTCGGAACGCGAATAGCGCTCCACTATTTCATCCCCAATTGTTACCCGGACGTACGGCGCTAATCATTATTAACACGTTATAATGTGCGCGTACAAAAAAACAAAGTTCAGGTCAAGAGGTCACCGTTGCCATTGATGGCACCACAGCTCTCACGTCACTTCGTTATTTCAGAGTGGACACTTGACATTTGAGGCCTCGAGGTGTCACGCGGCCAACACGGCCTTCAAGGGCCCCTCATGCAGTCTCATTACCACCACCGGCACCGCCACCAACTTGCCTGCAGATCATCAGCCCGGTTGTCAACCTCACTGACAAAGGGGAAACGACCTGAAGGCGAACCACGGTGTTGATGCTGAGAGGGTACGTCTTGGAAGGCGGGTGGTGACGTTTCCACTCCGTGGCTTCTACGAGAATAAATGAGAATCAGAGGTTTTGTTTCCGGCAAGTAAAGCGCTTTGAGCCTAGACGCTCTCTTTCGAGGGCGACTCAGCCGGCAGACATCAAAGCAATGAAGCGATGGCGAGGTGTTGTGACGGCAGCGTCATTGACCGCAATGACCTACTGACCTTCCCTAACTCTAACGATCTCACCATCACCAGCATCTGACGTTCGGTGTTCCCTCTGCGTGCCACTCCAATGTCCATAAGGGGTTGCTTGCCCTCCACCACCCTGCACACGTGTCCCACCCATCACAACCTCGTCTTGTTTACAGCTCCAGCCCTTTCGTTGCCACGTTCTTTTTTTAACCGTAACACTGTATTACGAACTGTAATCCTGATATGATGTGGTGATAGTGTTTAAGTGGACGAATACATAAGAATCCGCATATAAGCACACCGTGTCTAAGCACAGCTCTGATGTACAGTGAGGGAAAAAAGTATTTGATCCTCTGCTGATGTTGTACGTTTGCCCACTGACAAAGAAATTATCTGTCTATAATTTTAATGGTAGGTTTATTTGAACAGTGAGAGACGGAATAACAACAAAAAATCCAGAAAAACGCATGTTTTAATGAGGGAAATGAGTATTTGACCCCTCTGCAAAACATGACTTAGTACTTGGTGGCAAAACCCTTGTTGGCAATCACAGAGGTCAGACGTTTCTTGTAGTTGGCCACCAGGTTTTCACACATCTCAGGAGGGATTTTGTCCCACTCCTCTTTGCAGATCTTCTCCAAGTCAAGGTTTCGAGGATGACGTTTGGCAACTCGAACCTTCACCTCCCTCCACAGATTTTCTATGAGATTAAGGTCTGGAGATGGCTAGGCCACTCCAGGACCTTAATGTGCTTCTTCTTGAGCCACTCCTTTGTTGCCTTGGCCGTGTGTTTTGGGTCATTGTCATGCTGGAATACCCATCCACGACCCATTTTCAATGCCCTGGCTGAGGGAAGGAGGTTCTCACCCAAGATTTGACGGTACATGGCCCCGTCCATCGTCCCTTTGATGCGATGAAGTTGTCCTGTCCCCTTAGCAGAAAAACACCCCCAAAGCATAATGTTTCCACCTCGATGTTTGACGGTGGGGATGGCGTTCTTGGGGTCATAGGCAGCATTCCTCCTCCTCCAAACACGGCGAGTTGAGTTGATGCCAAAGAGCTCCATTTTGGTCTCATCTGACCACAACACTTTCACCCAGTTGTCCTCTGAATCATTCAGATGTTCATTGGCAAACTTCAGATGGGCATGTATATATGTGCTTTTTTGAGCAGGGGGACCTTGCGGGCGCTGCAGGATTTCAGTCCTTCACGGCTTAGTGTGTTACCAATTGTTTTCTTGGTGACTATGGTCCCAGCTGCCTTGAGATCATTGACAAGATCCTCCCGTGTAGTTCTGGGCTGATTCCTCACCGTTCTCGTGATCATTGCAACTCCACGAGGTGAGATCTTGCATGGAGCCCCAGGCCGAGGGAGATTTACAGTTATTTTGTGTTTCTTCCATTTGCGAAGAATCGCACCAACTGCTGTCACCTCACCAAGCTGCTTGGCAATGGTCTTGTAGCCCATTCCAGCCTTGTGTAGGTCTACAATCTTGTCCCTGACATCCTTGGAGAGCTCTTTGGTCTTGGCCATGGTGGAGAGTTTGGTATCTGATTGATTGATTGCTTCTGTGGACAGGTGACTTATACAGGTAACAAGCTGAGATTAGAGCAGTCCCTTTAAGAGTGTGCTCCTAATCTCAGCTCGTTACCTGTATAAAAGACACCTGGAAGCCAGAAATCTTTCTGATTGAGAGGGTCAAATACTTATTTCCCTCATTGAAATGCAAACAAATTTATAACATTTTTGACATGTGTTTTTCTGGATTTTGTTGTTATTGTGTCTCTCACTGTTCAAATTATCCTACCATTAAAATTATAGACTGATCATTTCTTTGTCAGTGGGCAAACGTACAAAATCAGCAGGGGATCAAATACTTTTTTCCCTCACTGTGAGAGGCCTAAGTGGCCTCTCTATGCGCCGTGAAGAAGGGTAATTACCTTAAACGTCGCCTGTTATATACTTGTTCTTTTTCAAGAGATAACTATTTGCTGTTTGTGCTAATGCACCACTGCCAATGCAGTATCGCCAAATAAATCGATATGGGCAACACGTGCTTAACATTATACTGATGATGGTGAAGGGTAACTTCTGATACAAGCACGCTACTTCGGATATAAGCACACTGCTGGCCTTGTTCCCAAGGGGTGCACTATATATCCAGCTTCCACAATTCATGTTTGTTGGTTTGTTTTTTACAACTTTTCTTGGTAATAAATAGGAGTAAAACGGGAGGGTGGTGAGTGGATGGATACAATATCAAGTCGGGGTGCAAGGGCGGAGCGCGTGGCTGGGAGATGGGGGGGGGAGTCCCACACTTTGTTCACAAGGGGAGAATGCGCCTCAAAAGAATAGAGCGGGGTGGGGGGGGGTAAACATCCAGCAGTGTACTTTTTTGACACGGATAGATCAAGAGAAAGAGAGAGAAAGAGAGAGAGAAACACCACGGCGGTGCGACATTGTGGACGATGCCTTCCCGTCGCCGTGACGGCGTGGAGTGGTCGCGGTGGCCGCGTGCGTGCGGGGCTACGCGGTCGATGTTCGTCGGAAACTGAAACGGCGGCGATCGACGATGCCTCGCCGTGCTCGTGTGCAGGCACAGGTTGGCACGCTGAGCGACCGA